AGCGAGTAGACGTCGGCGCGGTCGTTGTACTTTTTGCCCATAAAGACTTCGGGGGCCGCCCAGAGCGCCGTGCCGACGCCGGCGGTCATCGTCTCTTCAAATTGGCGGACGCGCGAGATGCCAAAGTCGTTGATCTTGGCCGTGCAGTTCTCGTCGAGGAGCACGTTCTTGGATTTGAGGTCGCGGTGGATGATCTTGGGCGTGAGCGAGTGGAGGTACACGAGGCCTTGGGCAATGTCGAGCGCGATCTTGATCTTCTCGATGGGCCATGTGAGCGTCGCCTTGCGTTTTTGCAAATGGTAAAAGAGGTCGCCGTTCTTCATGTACTCGGTGAGGAAGCAGAGGTTGCCATCCCGCGGGTTCCACGAAAACCCGAGAAAGTCTAGCACGTTCGGGTGCTGGAGGTGCAGCATGAGCTTGATCTCGGCCACGAAGCACTCGATCTCCTTCTTGTCGGCCTTGCGCTCTTCGAGAATCTGCTTGATCGCGACGTACCGGCCCTTAAACTGGCCGAGCCAGACCTCGCCGAACGCGCCTTTTGTGAGCTTGCGCGTATATTGGATCGCGTGAAAGTCGACCTTCATGGCGAGCATGTCCTGGTCCATCTTGAAGGGCGGCGCGCCGGCCGCCTTCTTGGTCGCGACGCGCTTGAAGTCGGGCGCGTCCTCGGCGTCGAGCACATAGCCCGGGGCCGTTGTCGGCTGCGGCTGCGGCTGGTGAAAGTTAAACGTGCGCTGGTCATCGTCGTCGTTCTCGCCATTGGTGGCCGGCTCGCCGCGGATGCGAAAGGCCGGCGCGGGCTGCGTCGGCTGGGCGCCATAGTAGCGCGCTTCGCGCCGCGCCTCGCGCGTCCGCCGGTGCCAGACAAAGTAGCCGATGATCAGGAGCAAGATGACGCCGGCGACAACGCCGAGGATCGTGTTGAGCGTCGCGCTTGACATGCCGTCGTCGAGGCGGCGGCGCACGAAGGACATGCTCGACGGACAACTGACTTGTGGAATGGCGCCGCTGTCCCACCGTGCCATGTGACTCACGTCCGGCAATGGTCTTGCAGTTTGTATGGACATACAAACCGATACATTAAAACAACCCGCCATTCGAACCGCGAACTGGCTCACCCGGTCGCTACATGCACCGACGACGCAACCGCATCTGCATGGCGCCTTCCGACCACACGACGACGACGACGACATGGCGCCTCTGGACAAGAGTACGGGTCTCGTCAATGTATATACGTCCATCGATGTGTACATGTCTTCTCGATACGAGCGAGATGCGTGCGAGAAGGGCATGACGCGCCCAGATGATAGAAGCCCAAAAGCTGTTGCAACCGACTGGCGCTCGGCAAACCAGTGCGTACCTGCAGTGCTGCCGTCGCATTAGTACGTGGATGGTTCTTGCGTTCGCTGGCACTGAATCGTCGTCCCTGAGCGCTGGCCATCGACGTTCGACGGCTCAGATCTGATGGCTCCTGCGCGAAGATCGCGATGGCCTGTCGCAGCATGGCCACGTCCGCGACGTCGTATGAGCCATCACCCGTCGTCGTTGGCGCCGCGTCATGGACGCCAAGAGCAGGAGACTAGCATACGCTTGGAAGTTTGTTGAATTATTTGGTGGCTACACATGATAAGGGGTCCTACTGCACTAGTACGGTTCGTATTCGAGCGCGGGCCGGACGCGGTCCTTGAGCAGCACGACGACTTCTGCGGCGCTCGGTCGGTTCTCGGGCTCGTAGTCCAAGCAGCGGAACGCGAGGTCCCGGACCGCGTCCGGGCAGCTCGGGCTGAACGTCGGCTTGGCCTTCTGCTGCGTCACGAGCTTGATGACGGCCATGCCATCGAGCTTGCCATTCTTGCCGATCGCTTGGTCGGCATACGGGATCGCACACGTGTCGAGCTCCG